ATGAAATATGATAATGATGAATATGATAACACTAAGACTGAAGTTAAACAAATGTAAACAACGCCGTCCCACCATCTGGTATGAGGTTAAAGTTCAGGGTTGTCGTATATCACAGTGCAATATATCTGCTTGGATGCCGACCATGATACCAGCAATGAATTAGTGTCGATCCTGACAACGTTAATTGTCGTTACTGTCCCTCCAACGCGTGCGTGCGTCTTTAACATAACCAGCATGTCTTCCTGCTGCCTGCAGAGACAGATGGTGGCTTATCTGCCGATGTATCTGAAGACTGTCTGCAGACTGCAGACTGATATCGGACTGAGGGCGGTGCAGCGAGAGGGAGAAGCAGCCCTGCTGGCTTGCTAAACAGTGCATCAAGTATCTAGTTGTGTTGAATGTGGTGTTAGGTTGGTTTGACATTATGCCGTTCTGTGATATTTCGCTGTCTGTGGGTGTGTAGTGTATTCTGTGGGAAATTCCAGGAATAAGAGAAGTTCCAACTTCAGGAGTAATTGTAATTGAACTTTTCAAAATACGTTCTGTACCAATTCTGAAAGGCCCATTATTTATTGGGGAACTTTATGTCTTGGGTTTTCTGTGATATGTTTATCAATACATGGGTGTTTTTTCAAATAAGATAAGATAGATAAGATTTATGCATAGCATTCCATCAAGGAACAGTGGCAATATCCTATAAACTACAAATGTAGTCGACACAGTAGGTACAAAGATATAGAAAAACACACAGATACATTCCACATATTAAAGATGTACATAATAATAGTTCATAAATATATTTACTTGAATAATGACAAACTATTAGCGGTATGCTTTAATTTAAATAAAAAATTATTTAAACTTTTATTTCAAAGTAAATACAGATATCAACCACTCAATACATTTACGTGATGACAAGACCAGAATTTGTAAAACATATCGAATCTATTTGACATTTCAGATGTACATTTAGTAATATTTAATAATCACGGACTTTGCATATTAATGTTTTGAAGGTTGGCAATCGGTTCTGTATATGGTATGCTTTAATGCTAGTCTAAATGTTAATCCAGGTCTATCGTTGAAGAGACAGAAGGACCTCACAGGGCCAAAGAGTCCGTACTTAAACCATAGATAAGATATATTTATTGCATAGCATTCCATTAAGGAACAGTGGCAATATTCTATAAACTACAAATATAATCACACCATATATGTCGAACTTAAAATGTTACCTTATACCCTTAGAAAAAGACCAGTCAACCGACCCCACCTGAACCCCACCCCTCCTTTAACCCCCAGCCCCTAACACCGATTAAAGGGTGCAGTGCTACGCTGTAAACATGCAGTCTTCCTTACGCTGAACATTACTCGTTTCACATAATCCTTGATTCAGCATAAATGCACAAAAGCTTGATAATGTCTCAAACCGGAGCCCACACCCATCTGCACATATGATCCAACCAGAGATGGCAACAAAGTATATGTATTGCTAAGTGCACAGTCGCCACGCAGTCAATGTGCAAGCTGGGAGACCCACCCTTACAAAAACACAACAGAGCCGGGCTGTTGAACCCTCCACATGGGACGCTCGTGAACCTGCCGGGAGTGAAATATGTTAAATGCTGACAGCCACACGACTTCTCAGTCTGTCTCACAGTCCCTGAACCACATTATTTTCCCAGCAGCCTTGCACTCTCGGCAATGCTAAAGCCCTAAATGAAGCAAGTCTAAATTTCCAAGGGGGTCACACTGGGTGTCCTTTTCAATTTAAAGGGGTTTATTTGTTACCATGAAAATTATATATTTTCAGAGACTTAGTCTGGGCTCCTCTGTGTCAGGGTTGATGTGGCTTTCACCTCCCCTACCTACCCCTTCCCCAGCCCCTACTTCAACCACCCTACACCCTCCCTAACCCCGCTCTTGTGGGATTTGCTAATTCTGTAGGCCATCTTGTAATGGCGGATTAACATGAAGGGAAAAATCAGCTGCTCCAGTAGTAGGACTTCCTCTAGACTAACACCTAGTCTCTCAGATGAACATATTTTACAACAACAAAAACATTTTCATAAAAAATAATCATTAGATATAATGAAAAGGAGCCGAGTGACTTTCTTAATCTTCTCTGGAAATCCAGACTTGCCACATATTCTTGCATGGACTTTCATGGATATATTTGTTTCAGGGTCTGTATGACAGACTAGACTTCCTCGTGATCATTAATTGTCCTCTGGTTTCTTTGATGTGTCCTCCTGAAATTGCCTCTGACAAACAGGCGGCTAACTATAACGATGTAGACAAAATGTGGACATTTAAATCACAGCTTCAGGGCGAGAGTGGGATATTTTCAAATGTTCAAAATGTTCAAATCTTCAACCATCCATGCCTCCGTGACATACATCGGCTGAAACATCTGGATAACAGACTTGGGTACAGCAGGAGAGATCGCCGTCACTCTCATCTCGCTGTTCCCCATGTCTTGTAGGGGATTGCATCACCAAGTCAGAACCTCCCACGTGTTTGCCATTTCAATGCCAACTCTCCAGTGATATCCGAGACTGTTATTCAGAACCCCAAACGCGGAGGGGGAGCGGCCTCACCATAGGCCATGCCAGCTCAATATTTGCTGGAACATCTCACCCCGGCTCAGTCTGTGGGACTTGGTGTATTTGTTGGAATGAGATATATGGAGGTTATTTTGAGAAAATGCGCTGAATGTATTGCATCCGTGGGAGTTTATTGAGCGATGAAGGGCTGGGTTAGTAGTGTTAGAACATAATGTCTCAGGATATTGGGGAGTTACTCTTTGTGTTTTACATGTTATTGTATGCTACACGCTTACAAAGGTTACTTTTTGGAGGCTATATTCCAGTAGAATGGTTTCCAGAGTTTCAGCTGATCTATGGTGACGCGTGGTGGAGAAACGGCTACCATTAAGTTAGACTAACGCTTAGTTTCTGAATATATTTCATTTTGATAGGAACAAATAAACACATTTAATTTGAAAAGGAGCCCCAGTGAGATGGGAAATTCAGACCTGAGGATATCTAGACTTGCTTCATTTAGGACTTTAGCATTGCAGGGAGGGCTGGGCGGTAGGGAAAATAATGCAGTTCATGGACCGAAATAAACGACTCTTAAAATCCGACTACACTTGGATAAAGGAATGTTTTTAAAGACAAACTTGACGTCTCATAGGAATTTCAGATTGTAAGTTTCACAGTGTATACAGCCCTCCGTACATCAGATAAAATATTTTCTCACGAAAATCAATACTTACCCTGGAGACATGTGGGTGGTACAAATTTGTATCTGTAAGCGTATCGTATATATTAGACTAACAACTAGTCTCTGAAATGAACATATTTTACTGAAAAAAGTCCATAGTAAAAGAAAATATATACATGTATAATGAAAAGGAGCCCTGAGACTTTCTTCATTTTCAGAAGCTGAGTAAATCTAGACTTGCCACATTTTCTAGACTTGTGTGGGCTTTCTTGGATATATTTACTTCAGGGTCTGTACGAGAGACTACGTATATATTTAAAGCCATTACTACGGTTATTACGAAGTCGAAGGGATCTCTACTTGAATTCGTTATATTCGTGGTTCGTTAAACGCATTACGACTCATTATATGTATAGTAAGTGCTAGGGACCCCCCTAACAGTTCTTCATATTCGCCAGTTCGTGATAAGCGTGTTCGTCATAAACGTAGTTAACTGTGATAAAACACGTATTGCCAGAAGGCGTGAGAATTGCCTTAAATACTACATGTATTGCACGTGTCACAGAAACAAATAAAGGAACACAGGCAAATTCAATCGTTACTTTATTATTTTCCAGTTTCCATCACCACGGCTCTATTCAATGCTGGTGATGAAAACTAGAATATATTGAAGGAACGCTTGAATTTTCCTGTGTTCCTTTATTTGTTTCTCTACGTATATGTAGTAACGCGCTCTTGTTTCTCCCCGTATCGACATCACCCTTACCCGGGGCGGTGGGGTAGCCTAGTGGTTAAAGCGTTCGCTCGTCACGCCGAAAACCCGGGTTCGAATCCCTACATGGGTACAATGTGTGAAGCCCATTTCTGGTGTCCCCCGCCGTGATATTGCTGGAACATTGCTAAAAGCGGCGTAAAACTAAACTCACTCACACACTCACCCTTACCCACTTCCTCTATACGCCCTGTCCCCGCTTTCAGGTTTCTCGCTGGTGTCCCCCGCCATGATATTGCTGGAATATTGTTAAAGGCGGCGTAAAACCCAACTCACTCCCTCAGGTTTCTCGACTCATTCATCATCTTTTCTTCAGTTTCCTCTTGATTCTCTCCCTTTGTTTCATTCTCCCGTCCTCTCTCACTATCGTTCCATCGGTCCAACACCGCCAGAAGTGTGTTATTTAACTGTGCGTCCAGTCACCAGTGTCATACTATAACCGTAAATCTAAAGCAGTATATGAAATAAGGCCCGTCCGACCGCCCGAGACGGGCTAGATTTCTGACGGACGGTCTAAATTTACAGCTAGCCAGCACGATGGACGGGTGAAAGAAATATTCAGATAACGTGCCACTTGGCACTGTCTATTTAGTATTTAAGAAGGACTGGTTAAATCTCTTCTGGGCTGGTCAGTTTTTGAAGTTACCAGCCCAGATGTCTGGCTGAGTTTTGGGCTTATTTCATACACTGTCTAAACACTAGGAAAATCCCCCATTTCACTGGGGCGCCTTTTGAAGCTGCTTAAATTGTTTCTGTGAAAATCAAAATATATTCAAGGACGAAGGCTCTGTCTCACTCTCGCTCTTTCTCTCCCTCTAAATTAAATCTCTGTCCCGTTATCGCCCCCCCCCCCCCCCACCACCTCTCTCTCTCTCTCACACACACACACACACACACACATATGCATGAATGTTATAACTCTGAATGTGTCAGTACACCTACAACATCATCAACAGAAGTGTCAACAACACAATACAACTTCGTCTTCTCCTGTTTCCAGGATGATCAACTACACCCCCGACATGCGGCCGGAGCAGGTGCAGTCAGTCATCCACAGTGCCTTCAAGGTGTGGAGTGAAGCTACCCTCCTCAAGTTCACCGAGGTCATGCACGGGGATGCTGACATCATGATCCAGTTTGCCAGCAGATATCACCAGGACGGATATCCATTTGATGGAAAAGGTTGAATATTTTTCAAATAAACGCGCTAAATATTACAATCGATAGCATTGATTTATCTTTGGTTCGATAACTTGCGGAAATGGATTCTAGATATTTCAGTGTAAGGGTGGCTCGGACCACTCTTGAAAAGTTGCTAAAATAAGCAAATTTTGCTCACTTCGGAATTCGCTTCAGCAGATTTTAATCCGAGTTCACAGTGTCTCGCAAATTGTTATCGCAAGTATACAATTTTCTAACAAATCATGTGTGAAGTCCATTTCTGGTGTCTCCCGCCGTGATATTGCTGGAATATTGCTGAAAGCGGCGTAAAACCATACTCAGTCAGTCAGTCTAAAAAATCATGATGAAACATTGAACTATTTGTACGTGGTTGAAGAAATCCTACAGATTAAATGCAAACAATATCTCCGAAAACACAAAGGAACACCGTAGAAACTGCGTTCTGTTGAACTTGTTGACACGGTAGAAGGTCAACGTGAAAATGTGTCACTGAGGACAGAATTGCAACTGCGCAGTCATTACAAGTAAAGGGAGACAACTCGCAATAGCTTGGCGTGTTTTGTGAATCACGATGAATGTATTTGCATAAAGGTTCGTGAATCTATGAAAGAAAATGTTTGATGTTTTCAGGTATGATTCTGGCTCACGCGTTTTTCCCCGGAGACGGCAAGGGAGGTGACACCCACTTCGACGACGATGAACACTGGACGTATAATTCCTCTGATGGTAAGCACTATAGTGAGAGATGCGTCCGTAAAATCTTCTCTGCATCGCACGCATTCGTGACCAACTCGTGTTATTCCGGGACAAGCCGAATAGCTTCTTTGAGGTTACGGAAAGGGGCGAGTGGTGACGAATGCATCGCACGACGAACGAAGAGTTCCGAAATTGCGGTTGAAAAGTTTCATTTGGTGCATTTCATAAAAAGTGGGGCAACGTGGAGTTTCCGGGTTAGAATTGACACAAACAGGCTATGCTCGTTGTAAGATGCTAATGAAATCGATGGTCAGAGCTGGTGACTTAGTCAACTGCTTTTGACCACATCTTCTTCAGCACAACATATTGCTGGTAATATTAATCAGTGGTCATTGATAATATTCAGGTGTGAGGTGAGGTGAAATTGGGTTTAACGTCGTGCTTGAGAATATTTCGCTCATATGACGACGTGCATGTGTATGTGTATGTGCGGCTGCCTGTACTAGCCCAGACTTAAGCTGGTTTTATAGTGCTAGCCCACTGAGATACCATGCCGCAGTGAAACATGAATACCCCCACTCAGACACATTATACTGATTCCGAGCCGACCAGTCCTTGTTGTACCCATTAATGCCGAACGCCAGGCAGGGACCAACAAGTACCATATTTTAACGTCTTTTGGTATGACGCGGTCGGGGATCGAACCCACGACCTTCCGCTCTCCGGGCGGACGCTCTAACCACTACACCACGGAGGCGGTCAATATTCAGGTGTAGTTGTATGAATTTAGAATCTCATTCGCAAAAAAGGGAGATAATGTATGGGTGTCAACTTCATGATGACTCACATCCTTCATCAACTTAATTATGTTTGTCACAATAAAGAATTTGACACCCATAATTAATCTCCCTTTAAATACACATCATCGTTTAGAAAGTGGTTATAATTCAGACCCGTGAAGGTCCGGGTTAGAATTTTGATCTTCAGTAACCCATGATTGTGGTAAGAGGCGACTAACGGGATCGGGTGGTCAGATTCGCTGAGTTGGTTGACACATGTCATCGGTTTCCCAATGGGGCAGATCGATGCTCATGATGTTGATCACTGGATTGTCTGGTCCAGACTCGAATATTTACAGACCGCCGCCACATAGCTGGAATATTGCTAAAACTAAACTCACTCACTCACATGTATGATTGGGGTTTGCAGACTGTCACACAGGAGTGTGGAGTATGTGCTTCGAGTTTTATTGTGTTCCTCATAATACACAAGTCCACATCCATACGGCATTGCACTGTACTCCATGATATAGTGTCCAGTGAGACTTAACAACCTTTTCTTCTTGTTGTTTTGTAGGTGTGGATCTCTTCATGGTGGCTGCCCACGAGTTCGGCCACGCCCTCGGCCTGGCCCACAGCACTGAGCCCGGGGCCCTCATGTACCCCTGGTATCAGGGTTTCCAGAAGACATTTTCACTACCTCATGACGACATCAGGGGCATCCAAAAATTATACGGTACGTATATGTACTGCCACTCCTGAGTGATTGAGTTAAGATTTGTAGACACAGTAGTTCAGCCGTGCCGTGCTGAAAACCGTCGCATTGATAATGAATAAAGTTTGGTTGTAAACTCTGTCGACAAAGGACAGTAAAATAGCTAGAATATCACTCATAAATATTTTTAAAATAACATTTAACCTTTAAGATGATAGTAGTAGTCAGGACAGTACAATATAAAAACGGGCTATATATGCCATCAACTGAAGGTAGATAGCTACACAAGAGGCCAAGGTGATATCCAGCACATACAGGACATTTGCAACTTGTATGGACACCAAGCTGGACTTACATTATTCTCTCTGCAATAGTTAGGAGTTTTAGCCTAAATGTAAATGACAAAAATTCTAAGAACAAATACGGCTTGAATGATATGGACCCTTAAGATCTGAAGTGATTTCACGTGGCAAGTTGATTTGGAGGATAATCGTAACGATACGTTTCTGAAAACATCCGTGGAATGCTGCAAAGTTAAGGTACAAAACTAACGATAATACCTGCTTATAATACTAGTATATCACCATCGAGTGTTGGTTTCGGGTTAGCCACCATCAAACACTGACGTGTGCTCAGACTAACGCTTAGTCTCTGAATATGTATAATTCTGAGAGCAACAAACAATTCCTTAAAAATAAATAGGAGCCCAAATGAGAATGGAAATTCAGACCTGAACTTGAAGAAATCTAGACTTGCTTCATTTAGGGTTTTAGTATTGTTGAAAGGACTGGGCGGAAGGGAAAATACTGTGAGACTTGTTGATCCGGAACAGGGTCTTTGCTAAATTGTAATTGTTGCTCAACTTACCAACTTGCACTTGCAGGGTTCAGAAATATAGAACTTCCTAAGAAGCCTACAGTGAAGGTTATCACAAACGCCACAGTTACCAAGAGCAAGGAACCAACAGAAGAAACCCCGACGGTGGACATTGACAGATCCAAGCCTGCTGACCCGTGTGTCCACTCGTTTGACGCCATCACTGTCATTAGGCAGGAGGTGTGCCTCTTCATCGGGAAGGTGAGGGAAGAAAGGATTTTGTTAGTTTGCTTAACGCCGCGCCCCAACAATATTCCAGCTGTATGGCGGCTGTGCGTAAATAATCGAGGCTGAACCAGGCAATCTAGTGATTAATACCATGAGCATTGATTTACGCAACTGGGATACGATGACGTGTCAACCATGTCAGCGGGCCTGATCACCCGGTACAATACCATGGTTCTGTTATCTGGTATCCCTGGCCTTGGGGTCGGTGGGGTAGCCTAGTGGTTAAAGCGTTTGTTCGTCACGCTGAAGGCCTGGGTTAGATCCCCCACATGGTACAATGTGTGAAGCCAATTTCTGTTGTTCCCCGCCGTGATATTACTTGAATATTGCTAAAAGCGGCGTAAAATCCAATTCACTCTCCTACTCGCTCCTCGGCCTGGGTATATAGGAAATATTGCTTGACTGATGTAATACCAAAATCACTGTCACATAAAGTTGTATATGTCGTGAGATTAACAATTCAAATACAATATGTAAATACCTTTACACTGTCAAAACCAATAATGAATGCATATACAACAATAACTCAACAGAGTTGCGTCCATTTAAATTATCAGGATCCGGTAACGGACCTGCATCTGTTCGAGTTTTCTACCTCCATAGCACACAGTCAAATAACATTTTTAACCCAAATATACTCATCCCCAACTTGAAAACACAACGATTTGAAACATTGCTGTGATGTATAATTTATTCTATCCTCGTTTTCAGTTTTTCTGGCGCTTGGACTCGCGTCATATACTGCGGGACCCAGTCCACATACACAAGTTCTGGTACGGGCTGCCGGTCACTGTTGACCACATAGATGCACTATATGAAAGACCGACCGACGGGAAAATAGTCTTCTTTTCAGGTACGTTTTGAAGCAAATAAATTCAATAACCACATGTCGCTAGATAGCTGAAACGATGCCGATGCAACGTAAAACCTTAACTCATCCCACCTCGCCAGTAACTACACAACCGAAGTACAAAAACATGGACTGATTCGGGGTTTGGGTGAGATTAGAGGGTTTTGTCGATACAGCCTGGATAATTATGGTATCATGTTGCCTTTCTGTGTTTCCACTATCCGGTGCTCGTGGGAACGAGCTATGCTCTTCCCTAGTGTCGCTCAAACCACGAACACATTGTTTCCCTTTCAGCAAAACCCTTTCCTCAAAGCTAAAGCTAAAAAATAGGCAAGTCTAGATCTTTCTTAGGTTCAGATCTGAATCTCCCAACAGCTCCTTGAGCTCTTTTATAATTCAGACCCGTGAAGGTCCGGGTTAGAATTTGTATCTTCAGTAACCCATGATTGTCGTAAGAGGCGACTAACGGCATCAGGTGGTCAGGCTCGCTGAGTTGGTTGACACATGTTATCGGTTCCCAATTGCGCAGATGGATGCTCATGCTGTTGATCACTGGATTGTCTGGTCCAGACTCGATTATTTACAGACCGCCCCCATATAGCTGAAATATTGCTGAGTGCAGCGTTCAACAACAAGTATACAAAACAAACGTATTCAGACATTCTATATCTGTTTCACTAATTATCCCAATATTAACCTTCAGGGGACAAGCACTGGGTATTCAACGCCAACTACCTGGAAGCGGGCTACCCGAAGGAAGGACGCCCCATCACAGAGCTGGGTATACCCCCTGACGTGAAGAAGATCGACACAGTGTTTGTCTGGGGGTTCAATAAACGCACCTACCTGGTGAGCGGCGACATGTACTGGAAACTAGACGAGAACAACACCTACGTGGAGTACGACTACCCCCGGGACATGAGCATCTGGCGTGGTATCCCCATCCCCATCGATGCCGCCTTCCAGTACTGGGATAGTAAGTGATACCTTGTAACGCCTTTGTTTTGGAGGGATGTTAACTGGTCGGTAGCAAGGCCCTCTTTTGATACCCCCAAGTTTTCAAGTTACCATGTCTCCAACCATTATGGCGGCGGTGGGGTAGCTTAGTGGTTGAACCGTTCGCTCGTCACGCTGAAGACCCGGGTTCGATCCACCTGGGTACGCGTGAAGCCCATTTCTGGTGTCCCCTGCCGTGATATTGCTGGAATAGTGCTTAAAGCGGCATAAAACTAAACTCAATCACTCACTATATTTAAACTTAATATGAAACGTATTCTCATGTTTTCGTCAACATTTTAAGGTAACGTTGCATAGAAATAATAAAACTTTTCCTCGACATGGACATAATTTTTTTATATTTTTCTTGCAGAAAAAACGTATTTCTTCCAAGGCCAAAATTACTGGGAGTTCTATGACCTGAAGATGCGCGGTCGACGAGGTTATCCAAAATCCATAGCTAAAGACTGGCTCAAGTGCTCTGGAGCGCGCATTCAGTTTCCCTTACAGAATAGATTCCATGGCGCAGCGCCATCTATATCCGGTCACGTGATCCTCATAATTTCATGTTTATTTCTTCTATATCACCAATCACATTAGTGCCGAAGACTTGTACCCCTTTGTCGGTTGTAATTGTATGTTAGTTCACAGGTCGCCTTTTGGTCTTTGCACCTTAAATTAGCCTTTTGTTACAGTTTTCAGTCACCAAGGAAGATAGTTGGCCATATTGTGATTTTTCGTTAAATATACAGTATTATAATCTTTGGCCAGAAAATCCTCCATTGTTTTGTGTTATTCAAAGATCGATGCATATTTTATTGGCTTGTGAGTCAGAGAGAGAAAATACTCATACTGGTTTGATCCTTGATAAGATAATGTAAGTAATTGTCATACTTATTTATTTCTTTTGTGTACATAATGTTCCAAAATATTTGTGTTGTACTCGTTGTAATCAGTCCGGATTTCTGGGGGTATTGAGATGATATAAGGCTTCATCCGTAATACTTTTCAGAACAGAGAGAACAATTTATGTAAATTTATTGGCTACATAGTGTTTCTTATTCTCGGACTGTGCGATGCAGTAGGTATATATGTACATCTGCGCCATAAGACGAGAATATTATGAAATTAATAACTTCAGGAAAGTGTTTAATGTACAGATGATTCCTCTCGATGATTTTGGGAATATATCGTAAACATTGATGAGGAATATGTTACTATGGTAAATAGGGCTGGCTATCGATAAAGATCATAGAGATCGATAATCGTTACCTAAATATTGATCGATTATCGATAAAGAAGACGAAAATGCCAAAAATATCTGAAAATATTGAATATATTTCACTTCATTAGTCAGTTGTGACATGTTTTTACATGCAGTATTAACAGTGCTAAATTTGTATATTGTGTGAGAACCTTTTTCCCTCACATAAGTTAATGTACGATACTGTCGTTAACAGTTTTCATATCGATAATCGTTAATGATTTTTCCTATCGACTATTTCCGATTATCGGTCATTTTAGCCAGTCCTAATGGATAGGATTGTCAAATTAGCCCTTGACAAAGGAAAATACCTTCTGTGAAGCATGTGACGTCATAGAAATATGTTGTAGATGTCCACTGTTCATCTCTGTGTCCACTGTAGGATGTTTGCAACTTTGTAGACGTTGCTGAGACGTCATGGCGACTACACCGACCAAACAGATAAGGCCAGTCAATGAGGCACATACCTCAGTTTTGTCAGGCTAATTTATTTCCATTTCCATCCAACATTATTCGGGATCATATGAATTGGCTCAAGCTCATCCTGCCGGAACAAACAACATAAGGAATATCAGGAGATAAAGGCGATTATTTTAATAACCAAAGTATCCGCCTTTCTTGCCATGTACCACCATCGCCATAACTACGGTATGATAATGCATGTTATTAAATGATACCACTTAGGCTAAGTCTCGTTTAGCATTGTACCAAAGTCGAACGCCTTTGCTTAGAATCTTTGTTACGACATAATTTCTGCATGCGTTTTGCAATACTCAGTCTGAAGGTGTGTGATATTCCATGTGTGGATGCTTGATTGTGGTATACTGAAATGATGTTATTATAATTAGGAAATACTATTTATGTTATTTGTCAAATCGACATTTTTATATCCCGCCTAGTGTTAATATGCGTATAATGAACAACTCTGATTGTTTTCTGCAAGCTTTTCTTGTAAAGCCGTAACTGCCAGTTCAAGTCAGTTTGTAGGGATATCGCTATTTCGTTTTTGCTCAATTATGTCCTCTCTAGTCTCCCGTAGGCTGTGGTAACCTGGGCAATACTCAGTGTGTGTTTGTTTTGCATTGTTCAATGTACGGTAGTCAGTATGTGCCAAAATTGTAGAAAGGATGCATGTGAATGAAAAATATGACACTTGATTTTCAAAGGTTATGTCACACAGGTGGTGAATTTCGCTCTACAATTTTAACAACTTCTAAGAATCTCAGTAGAATCCCAGTAGAATCCTAACACATGTGTAAATGTAGAATGTTTGCGTATTTGTCCCCACTGCCCTTCCGTATAACTCTGGTGCTGATGATGGAGATTTATGTAGCTAGCTTGTTCTCAATAGACCCAATACTCTCATTTTGTAAAACTGTTACACTATAATGAATGTTATATTTTGTGAAGAGGCGGTTAAAGGATATGTCTATATTTTGAGTTTGAGATTATGGATACACGGGCTGTGCGATTATGTTCGATTTAAAATTTCGCTGGGATGTTGATAATATTAATAGCGAAATGCGCTTATAGATTGGGCGTGAGAGAAAATAATCCCACGGCCTGATTGAGCTTTAAGAGTCTGTGGGACTTGTGGGTTTTATTGGAACTGGTGCTGGAGACGAGACGTTTGTTATCACAGACGTCATGTTGATGATAATGGTTTTGATGGGAATATCGTGTCTTGTTTAAGAAAAAATAGAAGTAGAATCTAGGCTTTTTCGGTGATAACATCCTCTTTATTTCATCTCTTACTGACGATTGTTCTAAAATGGACGACGACTGAAGAATAAGTTATTATTATCGTCCAGAGACGATGATTCCCATTTCCATTTTTTTTGCCTGCAACGTCATTTATGATGTTTTGTACATATTCATCGAGATCATAATGACGTTTATAACGTCATCATATTTTCACGTCACATAAATGTATTCACATTTTCACTGTTGCTTGAGAATGTGCACACTGTCAATATTTTCTGTAGAAGTATCCCACTCTGTGATTCCACATGCGTAATGATAAGAATAACTTAACCAAAGTGGAGCATATTTTAGGACGTCTCCGCGATGTTCCGGTGCAAGCTGTAAATGGAGCATCACATATTGGTTTTAGTATGAATGTAACGTTCACATGTAGTGCCACAGAGCTGATGATATTGTGCATATATATATTATATATATACAAGATATGTAAGTTTTGATGTAGACCTGCCTAGAGATTCATATGATGTGCTTTCATTTCCCCACAAAACCGTCCTTTGTAGCCGACACAACGCTCATACTAGTACTTAGCCTTACTGTAGATACTGGACCCTTGTTAATCCGGGCACTGGTAATCTGACAATTCCACCCCCGGACAAACCGTTTTGGAATATATATATTACAATAGCCCATCTCCCATACGTCCGGATATATTTTGGCAGTAAGTGCAGTGTCTGGGTTAGTGAGGTTCCTCTGTATGCAACCGGTTCCATGTAAGCTCCCGCGGTGTTAGACTTGGTGACGATATAATGGTGCTTAATGGTGAAGATGCCACAGTCGGTGTTTGCAATATTTATCAAAACACAATGTTTCAAATGTTTTTAGGATATGCATCACATGTATGAGAACGGTATATTGTGTTCGCAGCCTTCAGTAATTGACTGAAAAGTTTTTGATTAATTCTGTCTGATATCTGGTTGGGGAATCGAGAAGTGGCCTGAAGCATTCCAGAGTAGAAAATGCCACTTTTTTTTAAAACAAAATAAACAGAATATTTTATAACTGTCGCACTCGTAAACTGTATCTATTGTAAATGTGAACTTGATGTAATTTTAGTGATTAATAAATTTGATTACGCCATATCATGAGTGCAGTAAAGTGTAATTAGATTTTACTGTATTTTTAAGGGGATTAACCGTATATACTGATGGAACGAAGTAAGGGAACGCATAGCGAAAAAACTACTGCTGTATGCAATGCTTATAATTAGCATGAGCAAAATCATTTTGGTTTCCTTGGTTAGATGTTGAACAATCTCAAATAATCCTTAATCCTGGTTTGTCAAAAATATGCAAAACCATGTTATTTTTTACTTCCGTTCCGTTATTTTGTATCATCAGTATATATGAACAGTAATAATATTAAGTAATTTAGATAAAACACGATTTGTTTTATCTAAATGAACTGCCTGTGACTATGTCTATATGCAGTAGGTCACTGTTAATGTATTAAGTACAAATACAGAAGATGTCTTATAAAGATTTGTCATGTCATGAAGATGCACCCTAAAAAGCACGGTTATCTCCCCTTGAGGGTGGACAAGGCTTGTGCTGTCGTATCTACACCCGCTGTTTGATGATGTATTTTGAGCTTGCTTGGAACTATGTTCAAGCCACGTCTCTGCAAATAAAGTTTAGTAAACTTATTGCCTGTGTTTCTAGTTCTTTCTGAACTGTCGTATTTTGGTCATGATTTGGTGAATTAATTGCCACAGGCAGAATGCTGATGCTTTTTGACGGAACCTTCCCGTATTATCCCAACCCTATTTTAACATAGATGAACGACAGTGATGGTCGCTCTGTGGAACGGGGTCCACGAGAGTGAACTATCAACTGAACATTGATCTGAGAGACTGATCAACGATTCGCACCAAAGAGAACGGTACAAGCGTATATCTAGTTCTTCAAACCGGCTTAGTTCAAACTCGCATCCACTCGCTATCTCACCCTAATATAAATTACGTCGGTTGTTCCTGGCTCTACCAGGAGTTCTTAATGAGACGCCAGTTCAACAACTGACATTATGGTACCCGAAGAAGGGGATTGGATGAGCCGATGGTTAATAAACTTCCCTGTCAACGTGATGTTGGTGAAATAGGTACGAGCTGACAAGTCAATATTCGGAACATGGCATGTCCTTCACCTTGGAACTGACACCATGGTGCTGTACCTTCAGTTGTTGGCGATCTATGTTGTTTTTCTGTTGTGTTGACATATTTAGTTATATGTTTTAAATTTAATTACTATTTTTAAAATTCATATCGGTGATAAACTGGTTGTTTTACTGTCCTTCGTTGACAGGTTTTCAGAATTTACCTATAATTGTTATTAATATATAACTTGATATAGTCACGATATAGCTGAAATACTGCCGATGTCACTATACAATTTTTTAACTCACTCATTACACTCATCACATCATAGGAAGGTGAGGTGAGGTGAGGTGAAATTGGGTTTAACGTCGTGCTTGAGAATATTTCGCTCATATGACGACGTGTATGCGTGTGTATGTGTAGGTGCGGCTGCTTGTACTAGCCCAGACTTAAGCTGGTTTTATAGTGCTAGCCCACTGAGATACCACGCCGCAGTGAAGCATGAATACCCCACTCAGACACATTATACTGACTCCGAGCCGACCAATCCTTGTTGTACCCATTAATGCCGAGCGCCAGGCAGGGACCGACAAGTACCATATTTTAACGTCTTTTGGTATGACGCGGTCGGGGATCGAACCCGCGACCTTCCGCTCTCCGGGCGGACGCTCTAACCACTGCACCACGGAGGCGGTCTCATAGGAAGGTACACATCTACGTGTAACGATATATTTTACTGACAACAAACCGCGTATCTTATTACAACATGCACATGGTCACTTGATGAAGATCAGACAGATGGTCCAAATACTATCACAAATGAATACATACTATAGGCTCTTTGCAGTGAAAACGTACCGATGAATTTCACTTTAAACAAAAAAGTAAATCAAATAAAGTGAAATTAAGATTGCGAATCCTCATAATTTTACCTTGCCAATTGAACATTTGAATTCATCTTAGGATAAAAGTTGTTTAACAAACGATCATAGATTCAAATAGCTATTATTGGTTTGTATTACAAGGGGGTAAGCGCAGTAAATGGAACGAATGCAGTGCGGTACGTGATGAGCGTTAACTTAGACCAACCCTACTTGTTCTCGGTGTTTCATTTAATGTGCATACACCCTTGTAATACAAACCAATAATAACGATTTGAAACCATGATCGTTTGGTAAACAACTTTTATCCTAAGATGAATAAACTTCTGATATTTAAATGTTCAGTTGGCAAGGTAAAATTATGAGGATTCGCAATCTTAATTTCACTTTATTCGATTTACTTTCTTGTTTAAGTGAAATTCATCGGAACGTTTTCACTGCAAACAGACTATACTAATACACTCAAGACCACTCAATTCTTATCCCATGATGCCAATCATTGGATTGTCTGGTCCAGACTCGATTTTGTCCGTTAAATAAAATTGCTGAGTTCTTGGGAAACATACAAAGGACACAAATCTTTCTTATTACTACAGTTAATGTTATAGTAAGATACGGTACTATAGTACCATAATCTGAAACAATCTGTCTGTCCTTATGTTTTATGTAGTATAAGAAAAACTTATAGCACAACTGCATATTCTACCAATTCAATAAATAATGCTTGATTCTCATTGTATAGGCAAACACCTATTCTCTGAAATGAACATATGTTACAGAATAAACGGTTTATGAATTATATTATAGTCAGGGAGCCCAGATACTATCATCATCTCCAGGAACTGTGATAATCTAGACTTGCCACACATTCTAGGCATGTATTGGCATTATTGGTTATATTTGCTTCAGGGTATGTAGGCCAGATTTACTCATTGTTGAAAATCCTATTAAAATCAGGTATTAGTTATCTCTTATATACATGTACACTTGTAACCGTTACGCCGTTGATAAGTTACACAAAACTAAATATTTTCCATTGACTTCAATAGTAACGTTTTTATTTTGAAAACAAATATTTACTAAGTCCTCAACAGCCAATGCATATACATGTCTAGGACCGTCTTAGAGCAGCAATAGCAACCAAAAATGGTTAACTAACAAATTTTCAGCACAAATTCAGCACAGGTTCGGCACAACTTGTTATCCGATTGAAAATATATGTGGCCACATTCACTATAAGTCATGGTGCTGAAAGGCACAGCACTAGATAATGAACACATGGTCAGCTTTAATTCTTGAATGGATGTAAATTAACAGGAACCACAAATTTTACACAAATGCATCCAGTCACAACTGCATCAGGATAACGTCAACATTACACGAAAGCCGGTTGACGTTAAGAGGCTGTTTCTTGGCATGATTCCGGTATTACCTGAAGCGTTCGGATCAAGTTCATGTCTGGTTGGGTTATCTTCATGTGGATTACTTCAAATTTCTCCTCAATGTATATCTTGAGTTTGGTCAAACAGGGCAAATGATAACGCTCATGGACGGTATATTTGAAGCGAGTGAACATATTCGTTTTCTTTAACACACATAGTTCTATAATTACATTATGTTCTATATAGGACACTCAGCTAATTGTCGCTGTCACAGCTTTTCATCAGATACAAAGCAGCCAAGCCTGCCTTATTAAGACATGAATAGGGCCAATAATTCTGGAAAGGAATGTAAAGTTGAATGCTGATTTTCTAGTTCCATGGCTGTCAAACAAAGCATTCATCGTCAGAGTAGGACCACGCATCTTCTTCATCTGAAAGCAAAGCGAAGAGCACAATGTTCAATGACATAGTAAACACGCTTGAGGGAATTTACAAAATCGCAAATACGGATATGTTGTGGTGGTATTTGTGCACGTTACCTACCGTTATTTTGGGCACCAGTGACACTCGTGGGCGTGTTGTCTGTCTTCCCATTACTGTGTTGGGACTGTTCCACGCCGAACTCTTCAGGTACACTATTGCCCATATCCAGAACAGGACGTGATGGAATAACATTTTCTTTATGATACTCCCTGTCCGTTCCATCAAGTAAAGAACTAACAGTGCTGGACGAAGTTTGAGAAGTGGAGTCTGACAAATCTTCCACTTTCACATCTTTCTGGAAAGGTTCTAATGCTGGAAGCCCTTGTACCTGTTCAGTGTTTGGTGGAATTTGATCTACTGCTGGAACAACTGGAACTCCTACAGTCTCCTCCGAAAATGGAACATCTGCGGGCACATCTACATTATCAACTTGTGCATGGAAGGTAGCATAAGGATGAATGTCTACTATTGTCACAGTTTCAACTTCTACAATATTTGTAGGCATATGTCCAACTATTGATAAATGTTCTTCTCCATCACCCTTAGACCCACCATCTACTGCTGGTCGATCTTGCAGTTCTACAATATGTTCTGGACTAGGATTATCTGTTGGCAAAACGTGGTCTTCTATCTTATCCTTAGGACTAGGACATTCTTTCAGTAAGGCTTGCATATCCATAGTCCCTTTAGAATATATTTCAGATTCGACGTGACTAGAATTGTCTGGTTCAGAAACTATGCTGTCAGGGTTATCCACCTCGACATGAGAACCACCCGCCATGTATCCACATGAGGATGTGTCTTGATCTTCAGCCACAACATCGTCTCTCACGAACACCTCGGTTTCATAGCCTCCACCAGCAGGAGCCAAACCCATCCCCTGTTCTTCGATCCGGATTTTGTTGGGAGACTTTGTGACTGATGTGGTATGCAAATGGGGGGCTGTCTTTCCGTTATAGTCCACATCTATGGGAGCGTGGACATGACCAGAATCCTCAGATCTGCAGGTTTTGCTTGCAGTATTCTCCTTGGACGTTTTGTGTTCAGCATCCTTACAAGATGTTCTGTGAACGGGATCCTTATCGGGCGTTTTATCTACATTATCGTCACTGATCGTTTTGAGTATAGCATCCTTTCCAGATGTTCTGTGTACAGGGTCCACTCTGTCTACAGTATCCTCCTTGGATGTTTTCTGTGTAGTATCCTTACAAGATGATCTGTGTACAGGATTTGTACCGGGCTCTCTGTCTATAGTATCCTCCTTGGATGTTTTCTGTGTAGCATCCTTTCCAGATGTTCTGTGTACAGGATTTGTACCGGGCTCTCTGTCTATAGTTTCCTCCTTGGACGTTTTGTGTTCAGCATCCTTTCCAGATGTTCTGTGTACAGGATGTGTACCAGGTTCTCTGTCTACAGTATCCTCCTTTGACGCTTTCTGTGTAGAATCCTTTCCAGATGTTCTGTGTACAGGATGTGTACCGGGCTCTCTGTCTACAGTATCCTCCTTGGACGTTTTCTGTGTAGAATCCTTTCCAGATGTTCTGTGTACAGGATGTGTACCGGGCTCTCTGTCTATAGTATCCTCCTTGGATGTTTTCTGTGTAGCATCCTTTCCAGATGTTCTGTGTACAGGATGTGTACCGGGCTCTCTGTCTACAGTATCCTCCTTGGACGTTTTCTGTGTAGAATCCTTTCCAGATGTTCTGTGTACAGGATGTGTACCGGGCTCTCTGTCTACAGTATCCTCCTTGGGCGCTTTCTGTGTAGCATCCTTTCCAGATGTTCTGTGTACAGGGTCCACTCTGTCTATAGTATCCTCCTTGGACGCTTTCTGTGTAGCATCCTTACCAGATGTTCTGTGTACAGGGTCCGCTCTGTCTACAGTATCCTCCTTGGATGTTTTCTGTGTAGCATCCTTACCAGATGTTCTGTGTACAGGGTCCGCTCTGTCTACAGTATCCTCCTTGGATGTTTTCTGTGTAGCATCCTTATCAGATGTTCTGTGTACAGGATATTCACTGTGCGCTCTGTCTATAGTTTCCTCCATGGACGTTTTGTGTTCAGCATCCTTACCAGGTGGTCTGTGTACAGAATCCTTATTTCGCGCTATATCTACATTATTTTCCCTGGACGTTTTGTGTTCAACATCCGTTCCAGATGTTCTTTCTACAGAATCCTTAACGTGCGTTATCTAGATGTTCTATCTACGTTATCTTCCTTGGACGTTTTGGGTTCAGCATCTTTACCAGATGTTCTTTGTACAGGATATTCATCCAGCGTTACAGTTTCCTTCTTGGACGTTTTGTGTTCAGCATCATTACTAGATGTTTTGTGCACAGGATAATTACTGTTCGCTCTGTCTATAGTATCCTCCTTGGAAGTTTTGTGTTCAGCATCCTTACCAGGTGGTCTGTGTACAGAATCCTTACTTGGCTTAATATCTACAGTATCCTTCTTGAGCGTTCCACGTGAAGTATCCGTAACAGACGTTCCCTCTTGGGCATCACCCGGTATGTTTACAGGATCTGCTCTCACTGTTTCAGGGTAAGTAAAAGTGTGTTCGCCCTCTTTAATTTTCAGCATGCGGGGTGAACTGCCAGACTCCTTTCGCTTTTGCAAGAATCTGGATCTTGGTGATGATCCTAATCTGTTACTTGACAACCTTATGGAATCCTTGGCCTTCAGATTCTTGTTCTTGAATGGCTTTTTTGGTTCATCTTTCCTGTCCTCTCCGCTGGTATCAGGAACTGATGCCTCGGCTAAACGAAAACACAAACATAGCATTACACACATGTTACACACATCGCATTTCGTGGTAACAAGTTGAAGTAAATAGCTGTGACTGCGTTTATGATTTGCAGTCCAATACTGCTAAAACGAATACCTATACTAATACTAATACTATCTCAAATAATACTTAAAGAATAACAACAAACATGAAGCTTCTTGTAAACTAGACTGGTCTGAATTTTGTACACGAGCAGTTCACCGGTTGTTAGAGGTACGAGGGGCTATCAAAACGTTTTGAGCCTAAAATACTTCTGATATGTGCATGATAAAAATAACTGTGTGATATTGAAGAATGGTTTATATCATTCACATAAACGTAATATTCACATGCACATGTCGTTCGTTGCCACTTGACATCTAATCATGTGTATCCCTATTGAAACGGCAGAAATGGATAAGTTTGAGTACAGAGCAGTCATAAAGTTTTTGGTCCTTGAAGGCCACCCGGTGAAGCACATTGAAGAGCGATTGACAGCAGTCCGAATACTGAGTCCCATTGGTTATCGCGCTGCTGTCAGTAAGCATGGGAAATTAGGATACAAGTAGAGAATTGAATCAGACATACCTTTCCCTCTAATTTGTAAAATTTACAAATGTTCTCCTTATATCTACTTTACAAAATTTGAACCCCAAATGTTGGGGCGTTCTGGAATCAAAACGCTGGAATATACAGGGAGTGTTGTCAGTTAGAAAGCTGAAGTCACACTTTTGTCATGTAGTCCTGTGGAAAGTCTTTTGTCACTCTGAATCTTTAAGCATAGATCTAAAAATGAAACTGACGGGCTCCTATATTTCTAATATCAGGTGGGGTAGTCTAGTGGTTAAAGCGTTTGCTCGTCACGCCGAAGACCCGGGTTCGATTCCCCACATGGGCACAATGTGTTAAGCCCATTTCTGGTGTCCCCCGCCGTGATATTGCTAAAATATTGCTAAAAGCGGCGTAAAACTAAACTCAGTCAGTCAGTCTAATATCAGGTGTTGATCGGTGGAAGGGACAGTGTACAGTTACTGTGTAAAGTGTTCAGTACTGTGGACAGTATGCAGTACAGTGTAATTTTATTCTATTAATTCTATTCTATGTTTATCAATACTGCAACCGGTTTATGGTGCACGACCGTTGTCAATTAAACGTAGTGCTCACAAAGCTGCCTATCATGCGCAACGGGAGAATAATAATCTATATTTAAACGTCAATACCACAGACACTGCAACACAACACTGATGTTTCTCACTGCTTTAAAGTTAATCGACATAAGCTGCAGCCTCGACAGCATAATCAAGTGGCACTCCCCTGGGTGTTTTGTACCGATCGACTGCACGGCGCACCCTGGATTGCATTGCCAACACTAGTACTGTGACTTCACGTCGGGAGACAGTACAGAAAAACGGATATATTTACACAAATACTTGGTCCAGTCGTACACTGTACCCAGCTCACTGTGACCCAGCAAGTTGGTGTATTATCTTGCTTGTAATCAAAGTGAAACGCGTCCGTGTAGCTACGTGTACACAACAACCACTGGCCTCGTTCCATATTCTCCTCGACGCTGACGTACAGCGACCTCATGCGACATTGAAGTCAGCTCGCCGATAAGCTGTTATTCGTGTATTATCTGTCTCCTCGCGTGGGTGTGTTCAAGTTAACTGTAGTCAACCGTGTGCAGTCCCGAAAAAGTGAATGCAGAATATCTGCATTTGATTAAATCAAGACCTATCTTGATGGTAGATTCCCACATAATTTTCCCACACAGGCAATTACTTGAATGGAATCCAAATGCATTATGAAATCCGTTACAATTTTGAAAACGATCAGTGTATATTATCTTTTAGTTTAAGTGTTTGTCAATTTGGGGAACACCAAAGGCACAATGGGAATGGTCAGTCACAATGAAACAATGTACAATCAAAAACCGTTGTGTCGAAGTTGAAGAGACCTACGGAAATACTTCGAATTAACCGATGTTCGACACAACCATTAGAAATAATTATTTGATATGGAATACGCAGATACCCATTTTATACTGCGAAGCAAGCGCACGTTCGACACGTAATACGTTTTACACGTTCTAATCGGGAGTTTGTTGCACCCCTATACAGTAGACTCTCCTATTTTCACTATTATTATTTGTCAATTGATGTTTTGCCCTGTACAGGGATTTACCATATATTTGCCATGCTTTAATTTACGGCTTGGGTTTGGTTACACAACCTATGACGGTGGAAACTCTATAAATGACACTGGTTCCCAAAAGATCTAAATACAGTGAGTAAATATAACACCGATCGAATTTTAATGTTGTGGGCACCCCTTATGCATTATTGTGCAATTACCAGTTGAGTTTTTAGCCACCAGTAAGTACACAAGCAAAAGCGATAAAACTCAAGTGTTATGTGGGGTGCAGCAAGGCTGAATCCTGGCCCTTATCATTTTAAGCGCATATCCTTAAACCAACCGTTGATAGCAATAAGCCCCAGCTCGATAGCCTGACTCGGATAGATCAACCTGCAGCACTAAATCTTTCCTCAGATTACCACGAAGGGCGGTGTATTTACACACTTAAACCGGAGTCATAGGACAGAGGTTTGATATGACGTCATTGACATAAATGATAAATGTTTCACGTCAAAAGGAAATAGATATCCGTGAATTTATAACCTTGTTACGAGGACACGTTTTATTACTATTACATTTTAGGCACACATTCGCATGCAGATTATGTGCATAGATTTAAGTGTCTGAATAATTTTACACCATAATATACTCATGGACACGAATATGGGAACACATGAAAGTACAAGTGTTCCTTTATTCTTTTCCAGGTTTCTTCACAAGGTATGTATTGCACTGTGGGTTAAATTCTGGAAATAGATAAAGGAACACTTGTACTTTCATGTGTTCCCTTATTTGTTTCTATGAGTATATATTGGAATGTTGCTTCTTTGTTTGATTGTAATACTTTGAAATTAGGTCAAAATAACTTCAAGTATTTTTCTTGTAATTCGTGCATCACATTTTTAATGATCATGCAATTTTAACACTATGTTGCTATCGTCTCTGTGTCTAACCCGAATAAGATTTATTTCCGATATTTAGTACTGGTTACAAATTATATGGCTTGTTTACTTCATCGTGATCGTGTGTGGCACGATGGGGTAGTCTAGCGACTAAAGCGTATGTTTGATGAACCCAGATCAATTCCCCTCACAGGTACAACATAAAGCCCCCACAGAGATATTGCTTAGAGTGACATAAAAACCGTACTCATTCGACACTCTCTCATGGTGAGAAAACGATAACCCCAGCCCCTACCCCCTCCCTCAAACAAAGAGAACAAAAACAAAACGGGTTCGTAGTTAGCATGCCAGTTCGTTTGAAAGATTCAAGCGAAAGGTTGGTCAGCACAGCACTAAAAGTGTTCGCTCTTCAAGTCCAACACCAAAGTTTGATTACCGAAACCTGAGTACAAAGTGGGATACCCGTTCTTGGTATTCGCCAACAAGACTAACTCAAATAGTGCTAAAACAGTGCAACACTCTATTCACTCTAAATATGAACTATACTGGACAAAAATAGTTAGGGATATATGGAATTTTGAAATAATGAATAATGATCTATTTATTCATTGACACACTGATAAAATATCCATCATAAAAATGCCAATATCCCTAACTTATTTTGTCCAGTATAGTTGGAAGTCCCGTGGAGTTGTTTTTAGAATAACAACATTACAGGCTAATTATACGTCAAATATGGGTACGCCAGGGTTGTGTTCTTTCCGTCCCATCATTTACCTTCTCCTCCAGCAGACTGACACTGGTCATCCTCCGACTCCTTCACTTCATCCTGTGTGTCAACCTTCACGTCGTCCCTGGGAACCCGCATTGGACCCGACTTCTTTAAGATACTTCGCGACATCGTCGACGTCGAGTTTACAGGTCACTCCATATCTAAAACTGAAACTGGAATAAGATATAACTTGAAATACGTTTCGTGTTTCATAAATAGAGGAATGATGGTGTGTGTACTAATGTTGGGCTACACAACTTCCATACAAAGAATGTATGCTAAATAGAGCTAACATTATTACCCCGGGAAATGGATCAGTGCCCCCTACACACTGCAAACTGAAAGTATTAAGTTGTATCGGCAGCAGCGTTTACTGCAGCTACCTACACACTGTGAAGTTTTAAATTGTAAATAACGTATACTGAGTTTGTTATTCATGTATATATAATTTGAAGGACTCTTTTCATGTTTGATCCTGTCTATTTTACCCATTTCAACCCTGCAACCATGTGTAAATATTAATCTTTGTCTGGATAATTGTCTGGTTGAACGAAGACTCGGGTAAGAATGAATTTGCAGCTTCATGACTCCTACCATCCTGTAAATGTTTTCAGGTTGTACTGATTTTAAAGATGAGATATGTAATATGATTTGTAAGGTACCCATCACCAGGTTTGTGTTATGTGAAAGCTATTTAAAAATATTTTTCATTCAAATCAAATGACATAATAGATTTCAAAATGTGTAAAATCAAGTAGAAATATTTATGATTATTACTAGTAAACTTCATATGTCATTCACACAGTAAATATATCACTGAATCACCGTAGCACTGCCCTTTCATGTCACTGGCTTATACAACTATTAAATTAAAACCGTTAAAGAACCCACAGGGCAGAGGTCCACCATACCTTTTCATGATATATTTGTCAACGATGCCAAGAAGGACCCCACCCGAACTATAAATATCAAAAGGAAGAGAGTTTTTATGGATGTCAACTTCTTATTATGAATATACACAACGTTTCGGAGAATATCTTTACTCCTTCATCAGGTGAATGAATAGTATGAGGCAGAGAGCATACATATGTACATGTAAGGACAACAAAGATGCAAGCTAACAATGGAACAATTGGAAGCCAGTACTTCCAGTTAATTAGCACTGACAGTAGGTTGTGTATATTCATAATAAAGAAGTTGACATCCGTAAAAACACTCTTCCTTATGTGTATCACTTCTAAATCACTTCAAAGACCTAGATATATCATCTCAAACCATATGAAGTCAACGCTCTACGAGTCATCACGATCTCCCTGTTTCTCGATATTGCACACTCGCACTAAAGCGTTCAGTTCTGCAAGACCAACCATGCATACATAGACGATAATGATTCCTATATATTAAATATAAATATGCTGACTGATGTCCACAATCGAAACGCATCTATAGATCCATTCATAATTTGCAAACGCATTCCTTGGCATGACTTGCCTATGCAAAAGGTACTGTGTTTTGCACAAAGCATACCTAGGCTGAATGGCATGCTGTTTGATACAGTATTGAAACTTTCCGTTCTGTATGATGTTTAAGGCCACACTCAGCAATACTCAGACTACGCTACCCACGCGACAGGTTTGTGAATAATCTGGACAAGACAACCCAGTGATTGATATGAGTGTTTGGAAAGCAATCACCCATGCCCCCCAGGCTGATCCCCCTATCCATTTCGTCAACTCTTTCGGCAAGTGCAGGTGTGTTGTGTGTGTCTATATTACAACCCGGAAGCCAAATATCTATATATTCAATATGTATATAGGTATGCACTCAGTCTGTATCTTCTATTGACATACGTACTGGTCATGATCTGTTACTGAGCCTGCCATTCATTTATTCTAATGTTGAAATGGGTACCCCTATTAATCCCTCACGTGACAAATTTTTTGTTCCCTTTATCCAGCTCATCCAGGCATGACAAACACATCTAATTAGTTCTCGGTACCAAACGGGTAAAAATTAGGTGAAATTTGAGGACACCATTCTAGTCCCCTGTCCAACTAAAGGTATATATAAATAGAGGCTGACATACGCAGTCGCCTTGTCGACCACACCCTCAAGCTCTCTATCCATGCTCTATACAATATAATTACACAGCCTCGTACACCTTCACCTGGTTTAGTATTTATAAAGCCTCCCTCGCAAAAACATTCCTTCTTATATTTGTGTGATATTTTACTTCACATACCTGGTACTTCAGTCATATGGTGAACGACATCTAAATATGTTTTATGTTACATGAATCCGAATCTGTCATACAACATGTTGTAAAATAATTTAAAAGGGAAATATGAGGTCATTATAACATGCCTCCCTGTATTTGAATCACGACTATATAAACTGGTGTTACTTGCTGTACTTGTCCCACTAGTAATTGAATATTGATTTGTTGTATTACCCATTATACAATGTATATACTCGATATGGATCCTATGTTATATGACATGTAGTGTACATTCATATCTACTCGAATATGTTAATACTCATATTGCCCGATTACCTAGCCAGTATCATATTTTTGTTCGCAGGTAACATGTCCGCCACAAATGGACATACAGATCGTTTAAACAATCACCCTGGCACTGCGATCATTACCACAAGCTGTCACAGACACAAATGTCAAATATTCAAACAGCTCTAACCACTGATCTAAATACCAGCCATACATACCTCAGTTCGTTGGGGAAATCTCCTATTGGAAGTCAACACGTATCCTAACGTCAAGCACAGGTCTCACACAAATAGGTAGTAATGAGCAAATAAGCCCCGTATTTGCCGTGCACCACAAACGTATTTATCACACACTGTGTTTGCGACAGTGTACTAACGCAGGTTATGTAGGACCGGCCGCCATTGTTGTGGTATATTCACGTTTACGGCGATACGATCTGTGATTGGAGATCGTAACAGTTGGCCGCAGGTAGTTGCGTGTATGGCCATGCCTAAAATACTATTCAATAAAAGGGGTGCGCAGTATATATAGGCCTTATCATCACAGGTATTGTGCTTGCTGCGAAGCGATCGTCTAGCCTTGCTGTGGCGTTTTATCGAATAAATAGGCGTGACGTGTGAATCGTTTTAAATTGTAAAGAGTGCAAGAGACCCTTTTGCTAACATATTCTTTGTCACAATCAATGGGCACCTTTCACTGGTCTATGGCTGTAAGATTGCTGACGCGATGTAAAATGAATACATAATGCCATTTAGAAAGTGTAATCACAAATGTAACATATTGCGATGTAAAATGTTAACGCACTCACTTACCCATGCGCAGCTCTCTGTGTACTACACCATATTTGATGTGAATCTGTTTAATACACACTTACCATATTATCATTATTAGTTTTGTGTACCATAGAAAAATGTCCCTATCAAGACGATATGAAATTGGCCTATATAACGTTGCTAAGGACGAGGGGTTACCGCTGTGGATAAGCCAGGTAATGGCTGTTTCGCCGTCTCGCCAAAGACAACGGACAAATGTCCAAAAGAGAGAGAGAGAGAGAGAGAGAGAGAGAGAGAGAGAGAGAGAGAGAGAGAGAGAGAGAGAGAGAGAGAGAGAGAGAGAGAGAGAGAGAGAGAGAGAGAGAGAGAGAGAGAGAGAGAGAGAGAGAGAGAGAGAGAGAGAGAGAGAGAGAGAGAGAGAGAGATGCACAGACTGTAAAGGGACAGACTATAATTTAAGTGTCGTCGTCTATATTTCAGCCATATTCTATTGTATAACTTGTCGTCTTAGGTATTGATTTTATTCAATCTCACTTATTCGTCAATTATATATTCAGGGGTTGCGGGGTAGCCTAATGGTTAGAGCGTTCCCTTGTCAGACATGGTCAATCCACGTCACGGGTACCCGAGGACCATTATTGGTGTTCCCCGTCGTGACATTAGTGGAATGCTGCGGGAGTATTAGGGTAACACCAACCTCACTCACTCATAAATGTTGCTTCAACAAAATCGTTTTGATTCATTTATGGGAAGAAATTAAATAATGCCTGATTGATGGATACGCGATCAGACAACGCTCAGTCATTGTTCACCAAGTGTTGTGTCGTAGTACTGACACAAACAACTTCATCTAACATAAACGTCGGTGTTTCCATATATATATATATTCAAAACTTCACGTCACACTAAAATGAAACCAGGAAGTAGCCACAATATAGCCACTTTCACAAATGGCACGCACAACAATGTATAAGAAGACGTATAGCAATCCAGAAGTAGTTTTATAACTGTGATGTTAAACTCTTCATGGCAAGTCTATTTGTCCCGGTGACATTGCGTGTGTGGTAATGAACGAGAACCGTCAGGTTTGTACAATCGCACAGTGTCTTCCCTAACAAAATACGCTTGTTACTGCGGCAAATGTAAAACAACTCTTCGGTTGTCCCCGAGACCATATGACGATTGATTCGTCATTTATACATATAGGTATATCATATGTTTTGCGTTAGCAAATGTTTGTTTTTATGAAGTAGGTAACATGCATTGTTGGAGAATACATAAAACAGTTAGATCTCACGATGTATGTGTGATACACGAGTCCCAGCACTGAATCATATTTACCTTACATTCAGTGAATCAAAGGACAACTGACCACACACCTTTAAACATAACACCTAGAACTTCTGGCCATGCATATGTAAACATTTTTTTAACAGTATATGTAGAACAGCTGATCAAACATGTATAAACATGACACATGGAAAGACTGACCATACGCTTGTAATCATGTAAAACAAATCCTCAGTTCTCAAGACACCAGATATTTTCTTCACACATTGCACACATGGTCAGTCGTTCTATGTGTCATGATTACAGATGTATGGTCAGTTATTCTCTGTGTCATGATTACAGATGTATGGTCAGTTATTCTCTGTGTCATGATTACAGATGTATGGTCAGTTATTCTCTGTGTCATGATTACAGATGTATGGTCAGTCATTCTATGTGTCATGATTACAGATGTATGGTCAGTCATTCTATGTGTCATGATTACAGATATATGGTCAGTTATTCTATGTGTCGTGATTATATATGTTTGGTCAGTCGTTCTATGTGTCATGATTACAGATGTATGGTCAGTCTTTCTTTGTGTCATGATTACATATGAATTGTCAGTCGTTCTATCTGTAATGATTATATATGTTTGGTCAGTCGTTCTATGTGTCATGATTACAGATGTATGGTCAGTTATTCTATGTGTCATGATGACAGATATATGGTCAGTTATTCTCTGTGTCATGATTACAGATGTATGGTCAGTCATTCTATGTGTCATGATTACAGATATATGGTCAGTCATTCTCTGTGTCATGATTACAGATATATGGTCAGTTATTCTATGCGTCATGATTACAGATATATGGTCAGTTATTCTCTGTGTCATGATCACAGATGTAAGGTCAGTTATTCTATGTGTCATGGTTACAGATATATGGTCAGTTATTCTATGTGTCATGATTACAGATATATGGTCAGTTATTCTCTGTGTCATGATTACAAACATATGGTCAGTCATTCTATGTGTCATGATTACAGATGTATGGTCAGTTATTCTCTGTGTCATGATTACAGATGTATGGTCAGTCATTCTATGTGTCATGATTACAGATGTATGATCAGTTATTCTCTGTGTCATGATTACAGATGTATGGTCAGTTATTCTCTGTGTCATGATTACATATGTATGGTCTCTCATTCTATGTGTCATGATAACAGATGTATGATCAGTTATTCTCTGTGTCATGATTACAGATGTATGGTCAGTTATTCTCTGTGTCATGATTACAGATGTATGGTTAGTTATTCTCTGTGTCATGATTACAGATATATGGTCAGTTATTATCTGGTCATGTGTCATTACAGATGTATGGTCAGTTATTCTCTGTGTCATGATTACAGATGTATGGTCAGTCATTCTATGTGTCATGATTACAGATGTATGGTCAGTTATTCTCTGTGTCATGATTACAGATGTATGGTCAGTTATTCTCTGTGTCATGATTACAGATGTATGGTCAGTTATTCTCTGTGTCATGATTACAGATGTATGGTCAGTCATTCTATGTGTCATGATTACAGATGTATGGTCAGTCATTCTATGTGTCATGATTACAAATGTATGGTCAGTTATTCTATGTGTCGTGATTATATATGTTTGGTCAGTCGTTCTATGTGTCATGATTACAAATGTATGGTCAGTCTTTCTTTGTGTCATGATTACATATGAATTGTCAGTCGTTCTATCTGTAATGATTATATATGTTTGGTCAGTCGTTCTATGTGTCATGATTACAGATGTATGGTCAGTTATTCTATGTGTCATGATTACAGATATATGGTCAGTTATTCTCTGTGTCATGATTACAGATGTATGGTCAGTCATTCTATGTGTCATGATTGCAGATATATGGTCAGTCATTCTCTGTGTCATGATTACAGATATATGGTCAGTTATTCTATGTGTCATGATTACAGATATATGGTCAGTTATTCTCTGTGTCATGATCACAGATGTAAGGTCAGTTATTCTATGTGTCATGGTTACAGATATATGGTCAGTTATTCTCTGTGTCATGATTACAGATATATATGGTCAGTTATTCTCTGTGTCATGATTACAAACATATGGTCAGTCATTCTATGTGTCATGATTACAGATGTATGGTCAGTTATTCTCTGTGTCATGATTACAGATATATGGTCAGTCATTATCTGTGTGATGATTACAGATATATGGTCAGTTATTCTATGTGTCATGATTACAGATATATGGTCTGTCATTCTATGTGTCATGATTACAGATATATGGTCAGTCATTCTATGTGTCATGATTACAGATATATGGTCAGTCATTCTATGTGTCATGATTACAGATATATGGTCAGTTATTCTATGCGTCATGATTACAGATATATGGTCAGTCATTCTATGCGTCATGATAACAGATATATTGTCAGTTATTCTATGTGTCATGATTACATATATATGGTAAGTCATTCTATGTGTCATGATTACAGATATATGGTCAGTCATTCTATGTGTCATGATAACAGATATATGGTCAGTCATTCTATGTGTCATGATTACAGATATATGGTAAGTCATTCTATGTGTCATGATTACATATATATGGTCAGTTATTCTATGCGTCATGATTACAGATGTATGGTCAGTTATTCTCTGTGTCATGATTACAGATGTATGGTCAGTTATTCTCTGTGTCATGATTACAGATGTATGGTTAGTTATTCTCTGTGTCATGATTGCAGATATATGGTCAGTTATTCTCTGTGTCATGATTACAGATGTATGGTCAGTTATTCTCTGTGTCATGATTACAGATGTATGGTCAGTCATTCTATGTGTCATGATTACAGATGTATGGTCAGTTATTCTCTGTGTCATGATTACAGATGTATGGTCAGTTATTCTCTGTGTCATGATTACAGATGTATGGTCAGTTATTCTCTGTGTCATGATTACAGATGTATGGTCAGTCATTCTCTGTGTCATGATTACAGATGTATGGTCAGTCATTCTATGTGTCATGATTACAAATGTATGGTCAGTTATTCTATGTGTCGTGATTATATATGTTTGGTCAGTCGTTCTATGTGTCATGATTACAAATGTATGGTCAGTCTTTCTTTGTGTCATGATTACATATGAATTGTCAGTCGTTCTATCTGTAATGATTATATATGTTTGGTCAGTCGTTCTATGTGTCATGATTACAGATGTATGGTCAGTTATTCTATTCTATGTGTGTCATGTTTACAGATATATGGTCAGTTATTCTCTGTGTCATGATTACAGATATATGGTCAGTCATTCTATGTGTCATGATTACAGATATATGGTCAGTCATTCTCTGTGTCATGATTACAGATATATGGTCAGTTATTCTATGTGTCATGATTACAGATATATGGTCAGTTATTCTCTGTGTCATGATCA